CTCCCTCCCTCCCTCCCTCCCTCCGGTTAGAATGCAGTATTTCAGACTTGCTCACTGCCAGGAGCTCGATCCTGACGGGCTCAAGATTGACTCAGCCTTCCATCCTTCTGAGTTGGATAAAATGAGGACCCATATTGTTTTGGGGGCCATAAGCTGACTCTGTAAAATTCTTAGAGGGGGCTGTAAAAGCACTGTGAAGCGCATATAAGTCTAAATGCTATCGCTGTAATAGAGCTTTTGATCTTAAACAGAATACTGTACTTAATATTAAATTTTCCTTATATTGTTCCTTGGTGTTTGTACAAAGGAGTGTGTGTAGATGTGTCTGTGTGCGTGTATTTACAAGAAACAACTTTCAAAATAATTCAAATCTGTGACATAGAGCTAGTGTGGTGTGATAGAGTGCTGAAGAGGCGGGGCCTAGAAACCCAAAGCCTTCTTTAAGCATGAAAGGCGACTGGGTGACTTGGGACCAGTCCCTCCCCATCAGACCATCCCACCTCGCAGGGCTGTTGTTGTTGTTGTTGTGGGGAAAACAGGAGGTGGGAAGATTAGGTAAGTTCACCACCTTGACATATATATAAAAAGATGAGATAAAAATCTAAGAACAATACAGTAATAATAATCATGTACCTGCAAAGCTTCTAGGAACCGGAAGGATCCCAAACGTCTCCCTCGGGGGATGATACAAAAGGTAGAGTTGTGCAAAAGCTCCTGATAATCAAACCTGGGAAAAGACAACACAAAAATGTTGCAAAGTAGAGGCAATCAGTCGCTCGGTGCTCTTTGGGGAACGAAATGAGTCCTTTTTCATTTTGGATAGGATTTGGATTTCCCAGTGGTGCCCCATCCTAATATTATCTGAGCAATACCCAAACAAATATGCCCTCCAGCTCTTTGGGATTACCATCCATGCCAATCAATCGCAATGCCAATCAATCACATCAATCAATGCCAATCCATTGCCAATGCCAATCAATCGCATCCTCTCCTGCCGAGAGCTTTGTAACTGCAATAGGTTTACATCAGGGGTGTCCAACCTTGGCAACTTGAAGAATCCGAATAGAGCTGGAAGGACCTTGGAGGTCTTCTAGTCCAGCCCCCTGCTCAAGCAGGAAATCCTGTACCATTTCAGACATTAGACGTAACCCATAGTAGGGAGGAAGAGGATGAGGAGTTATGGTCTGGGTTATTGAAGAATACATATGATCAGAAATAGTCTTCCACAGATAATGTGAGGATGGGACTATTATAATCACTATCCTAAACAACTAATTTCATAGGGCACTTCTTGAAGATTTCCCCAAAGCCCCGAGGTACATTCTGTAGAACAGTGTTTCTCAACCTTGGCAACTTGAAGTTGCCCGGACTTCACCCCCCAGAATTCCCCAGCCAGCGAATGCTGGCTGGGGAATTCTG